TGAGGGAATACTCAATATAGGGTGACCCAACTTGATATACCGACTTATACATATGACGTACGAGCATATAAGGCCGGCATGATCCTTAATATACTCAAAACATAGGCCGACAAGGCCATACAAGTATCCGTATATATGATATCTGTCTACAAGCTGACTAAGAGTACATAAATATCATAAAGGTCGGACAGGGCCCCGCCATACTAATCATACATGTCCAAATCATACTGACCAAATAAGCAAATCATTAATTATCCACTAATCTCTTGATTAACTTGTTAATCTCCCACTAATAATTAATTATCCAATTTTCCACATAATTAAGAATTATCTCAAATTACTTATAATACTACTCACTTTTAACACACTTTATACATCTTGCTATCATGGTCATGTGGTACCTTGTATGACATTAGTCCATAAATACGGGATATTGTAGTTTGGACCGTAATTTATCTCAATATGTCAAACTTCGACGAAATTCATTTTTTTCGATTTGCTTACCCTCTCACCTTCACGAATTTACTCATCACTTGTTTGAAATAACATAATACTTATAATCTCAAAATAATCTCATTCCCGAGTTTACGTCGATTAACTTACGACGAAACTTTAACGTACGAAAATGCGGGATGTAACATCTCATTTTCGAGCTTATATCAATTTAATTATGGCGTACTTTCACGTACGAAAATATGGGGAGTAACAATCACGCCCAAGTCAGTGTCATTAACTTCAAAGATTCTTTTTACCTGCTCGGCCAGATCAGTTTATTCTTTCCGAGCTGCTTCTAGCTCAGCCTGAAGTCCTTTCGCTTCTCTTTCTCTCTGCTCACTGAGAAGCTTGAAGGCATCTCTCTCCTCATTAACCCCTCAGATTTCGGCTTCGTACCGGCTCAGCTCCCCTCGGTATCGGAAAAATACCTCGTGATAAAGAACAAAGGCCTACAAAAATAGAAAGAAGGAATTATACAAGGAAAGAAAAATACAAGTATGAAAATTGACAAAGAAAATATGAACTTACCCAATTCAGGGTCTGTTGAGCTTCGTTGAAAAGACAAGAAGTTCCCACCTCACCCGAGCTCTTCTTCGGAGCCTCCAAGTCACTCAGACCGGTGACATCTTCTATCCCAACAAAATAACCACGGAAAGGATCTTCCTCTCCATGGGCTCCCTCCCCGTGATAAGTCTCCACGGCCTGAGCGTCACGTATCATCGACTGGGAAAATGAAGGAAACGACGGGGAATACCCGATCTCTATTGCCCCAAGTGGGTGTTTTAGGGTGCCGCTTCCATCTTGACGAGCCTCAAGCCCGGTTTCTACATCGGCATCCACCGCCTCTTCAACGGTCTCTTCGCCCCGAGGTAAAGCATCTTCGGTCCCCCTCGGCTCGGGAACTTGGGCCGGAGTCTCCTCCTCGATCTCATCGAGCCTAGACGGAGCAGTATTAACTCCCACCGGTTCCGAAGTTTTCTGAATATCGGTGCTAGCTCGTGCACGGGCCACCAACCCAGAATCACCTTCTTCTTCTTCTTCTTATTCTTCTTCTTCTTCTTCTTCTTCTTCTTCTTCTTCTTCTTCTTCGTCTTCTTCTTCTTCTTCATCCCTTAATCTTTGGACTGACTTCATAGTCAGTGGGATTGTTTTCCCCTTGGGTTTATGGGCCGCTCTCTTCTTGGGTTGTTGACCCTCGGAGTTCGAGGCCCTTTTTCTCTTAATCACCTTCGCTGGCTTTGAGATAGGCAGTAAAGCTTCTTCATCACCGGATGGGGGTCTCATAGCCGCATCCTTTTCCGAGACCTACAAAAGGAGAAAGTAAGTAAACTCATGCTTGAAAAATGCTTGAACGATAGGCAAATTGGTAAGCCAAGAAGAAGGCTTACCATGAGTACGAGCCTCCCACCGGCCCTTTGACAAATCGTGCCACGCACGCTCGGCATATGTTGACGTCGATATTAGGCTCCTGACCTAGTTCTCGAGGTGGGGAACCGCACCTGGCATCCAAGCAACGGCTGCATCGAGAAAAAAAAACACTGATAAGAAAGGATGAAGAAGTAAAAACAACAAACGGAAATTAAAGACAGGATCATACTTACGTTTCATATTCCATTTCTCAGGAAATGGCATGCTCTCAGCCGGGAATAGGTCCGTGGTCTTCACCCGAACGAACCGGCCCATCCAACCCCGATCTTTGTCTTCATTTATAATTGAGGTGAACGCCTTGGCGCCCAACATTGAAGCTTTATCAGCCCACCTCGGTAGAGTCGAGGGCTATATAATCTTACGAGGTGATCGAGGGTGAAGGGAAGCCCGTCGATTTTGCTCACAGAAAAACGGAGCTGTATCACGATCCTCCAGAAAGAAGGGTGAATTTGGCCGAGGGTCACCTGATATTTTTTGCATAAATCGACGATGACCGGATCGAGGGGACCCAGCGTGAAAGGATAAGTGCAAACACTAAGGTACCCTTCCACGTGGGTAGTGATCGCTTCCTCCGGTGCTGGTATCACAACCTCTTTGTTTTCCCAATTGCAATCTTTCTTCACCAGATCAAGAAGACTTTGGGATATCGAGCATATATATCTCGATACTGGCTCGCATAGACCATCAACCAATAAGGGTTTCTCAACCTTAAAGTCGGAATCAATAACACACCCTCGGGAATAAGTTCTTCAAGGCGTGGCTCCACCACTGGTTTCTCGCCGGCCGGCCGAGATGAGGAAGCAGCCTCTTTCTGCGGAACAGTTTTAGATGTTTTGGCCATTTAGTTTTTGTGAACAAAGAAGAATGGAGATTGAAGTATTTGGTGTTTTAGGAAGAATAAGCAAAGAAATTTGAAAACCTGAAAATAGGGCGCTTTGGAGAAGGCAAAGAACTATGAAGATTAGAATGGAAAAGATTTGAGAGTAAAAGTTTGAAATGATGAAAAAGGGGGCTATTTATTGGTTTCACAACGACGGTTCAAAACTGGTAGTGGCCGACCATCGACTGACGCACATTTAATGCCTTGGTAACTGGACCGACGGGACGTTTGTCGCATATGTCACAATCGGGCTCGTCGCTGATGTCATTGCCCATCTAGTTGGGGTTCGAAAGTTCATATAGTTTCTCGCTATTTTCTTTCCGAGAAACGAGGGGACTATCTGTATACGGTCAAAACAGGATTTGCCCTTCGAGATTGGAACATGATGGACCAAGGTTCGTCATTGTAATATCGAGGCATGATGCGGAGTTTGGTTGTCGAGCTCGAGCCTTAGAAACCAATCTAGATTAAGATCGGTCAAGATCGAGCTCAAGGCATCGAGGTCAAACAAATAGAGATCGGCCAAGATCGAACACGAGACATCGAGGTCAAACAAATAGAGACCGGCCAAGATCGAGCTCAAGCCCCAGAAACCAATCAGGATCGAGATAGGCCAAGATCAAGATCGAGCCAAGAAACAAAAAAGTCGTTATAGCCGTAATTAGGGAGAGAGTCTCGGCAGAAATCACGGCTTGAATCAAGGAAAAGGTAATTATTTAATCTATCATGAGATCCTCACTATATATTTTTAATTATATCCAAATTGAGATCCCCCCCACTATATTAAGAGTTGTTATCATTTGTAGAGAGGACACATTCATTATGAGATATACACAACATCAAGAAAATACTATCCTTTTTTTGGCTTTTGATATTTAGTCATATTGCTTCTTCTACCAATTGTTCTTCACTCAATTTGGAGGTGATAAAACTTGAAGACTTAGGCTAACTAGTTCATTCGATTTGTATTCATTTCTTTTATAACTAATTTCAATATTCATTTACATATCTTTCCCAATTTGTATCAATTTATATCACGTATCCTTAGAACTATGTATAAATTCACATATATCCGTTTTTTGGGTAAACACTTACCTCATCAAGGGATTAACTAATTAGCAGCGTCTGCCAATGAGAAAAAGGGCCAAAATAAATGGTTACCTCAGAGTTTTAGTTTTAATTTACCACTGAAAAAAAAAAATTACACAATTAGTATAGGTAAACTGTTATGATATAGTATATCAAATGGTAACGTGATAATTTTTTAATTGACCCACTGAAGTAGGCTAAGCTAATACCAATACTACTTTACTTTACTTTACTTTACTTAACTATACTATAATATAGAAAAGCCACAGGTTTCGACCTCTGTGCTTAAAAGGAATTAAAATCCAAGCTGAGGGTAGTTCAGTCATTGCATCTATTTACTTTTGTACATGTACAGGTGTTAGAAATTTGGGAGCCACTATCATTACATGGCTTTTATTCTTGCTGCCAACACGTATTTGTACAGATCTCCTCCTTTTTTTACTTCATTTTCTTCTCTTATTATGGACCGGCGTCTCTCTTGCTCTCTCCTCTGTGCTTTCTTGGGTTGCTTAATTTTTAACAAAGGTTCTCTATATTGTTTTCAATTAATCTTTGCTCTTTGTTTTATTTTTGGATTCTGGTGAGTATTTTTCTTTTCTTCCTTTTGTTACTTCATAGTAATAAGTATTTGATGAATGTGTTAATCTTTCTATTTGTTTTTCTGTTCTTTTGAATCATTTTTTGCTGGGGTTGTATCTGATTCTGTCCTTTCCTTCTCTGGTCTCTCTATCTTCCTCTCCAATCCCGAATTATTCTTATTTCAGAATTTGGGGAAATGCCCAAATAAAAAATTACTATTTTCTGTCAATTTATTTGGCATTATCCTTGGCCCTTCTTGTTTTGATTCCTTTATCTTGCTGTCCTTTTTCTTTTAAATTTCTATAATTTTATTGGGGTATTGTTTATTAATATTGAATATATTTATTTTTAGTTATTGAAATTTGACAAGAGTGGGTTGCTCTACTGGTAATCATTCTTCGTTCCCAACCAAGAGGTTGTGAGTTTGAGTTAACTCAAGAGCAAGGTGGAGAGTTCTTGGAGGGAGGGAGCCGAGGGTCTATCGAAAACAGCCTCTCTATCAAAGGGTAGGGATAAGTTCTGCGTACACACTACCCTCCCCAGACCTTATTAGTAGGATTATACTGGATTGTTGTTGTTGTTGTATATTTATTTTTGGTGTTTGGCAGGCTACTTTTGTTTAGGCATATTTGGCAAAAGCGCACCGGTTCTTGAGCTTGAGCTGTTGCATTTTCTCTCAGGAATGCTTTTGAAATTTGTCAATGTTAGTAGCAAGACACTTTAGGTATTGCTTTGTTTGATCTTCAGGCTTTGAATTGAAATCTGACGATCCCTTACAAAAACTGCCACTATATGATTAATCAAGCTAAGGTAATTATTGTGCATGGAGATTAGGACGAGTTAGTTAGAATTGGTGATTTTGTGAAACATATGTTGTCTAAAAAACTTTATGATTGTTGTGAGCTTCCTTATCGTCCTATTATATCTATCTATACTATATTAAAATCATATATTAAAAATCATGAATCCTTAAAAGTTAAATTACTTAAATGTCCCTTTAAATAATATTAAAATCCTAATTTATTTATTAAAAAAATAACGCCTACAAGAGGACGTTTCATGCTTTATTAAGAGATACAATTTACAACCATTTTATGAGGGTAAAAACACATTGAATAGCTAACTCCAAAAGGTGTTATTGTTGATAATCTGATGGCCGATAGGTACCAATCATTGTCGAAATATGACAATATTAAAGGGTAAAAACACATTGAATAGCTAACTCCAAAAGGTGTTATTGTTGATAATCTGATGGCCGATAGGTACCAATCATTGTCGAAATATGACAATATTAAAGGGTAAAAACACATTGAATAGCTAACTCCAAAAGGTGTTATTGTTGATAATCTGATGGCCGATAGGTACCAATCATTGTCGAAATATGACAATATCCAAAGGCAGATCAAATACCAACATTACCTATTTAACCGAATAAGTTGTATTTGACTCTATCAAGATATCTCTACATGTGCAAAAATATTTTAATATGTATATATACCTTGAAATTGCACTAAAATTGCATTCATTTACCATTGATCCTGAATTTCACATTTACATTACCTCTCTTCAATTTTTTACATTCACACTTTGCTCCACTATATATTATGTTCGTCAACAATCCGTTCGCAATATTGCACGCAAATCAATAGATAACCAAAACTTAATCCGTTTGATACCTTTGAGTTTGCTTTTAGGAATTATAGTTAAAGGTGGTGACTATTTTTCGAATTAGTTTCTTCATCTATGTTGCTATAACCTCATTTTTCTTCTATGTCGGAAAATTTGATTGGCAATGGATGTGGATTACACGTGAATCTACTATATCCAATCCTGCAAATGACCGAAGGTAATTGATCTAATCTAATCAAAACTACCTTCAACTTGATATACTACTTAGTTATCCATTATATTTAATTTTCATTTTGAATTCAGCCACAAAATCAACAAACAATACCTTACTTCTTCAATTAAAATTTTGGTGACAAGTATCAGCTTCTTCTAGAATTCGTAAAGGTACTGCCAATATTCTTTTGTTCCTTTCTAATTTAATTTATTTATTTTAGATTTGGCATATTAAGATGAATGAAGGAGAAGCATTGTTCAATACTGTAGTATTTTGGAATTCTAAAACAGCAATTCGGAACATAATGCTAATCAAGTTGGTGTTGAGTAATCATAGAGAATTAATTTTTTCTTTTGTCAAAATTGATAAGAAAAGTGCAATTCTGTCTTCAACTGAGTTTACTCGACTGATTCATTCACTTGAAATTTGTGTAAAAATTACTAAAACAAAAAATTATATAGGAAGAACTTTAATTGCTCAAAAAAAAAAAAATGAACTTGACAATGTTGATGCTACCACAGTTGAGGAAGAAGATAAATCAGTTAACCAAAGGAAGAGGATGAAAAGAACCAATGAAGATTAACGTTCACTAAATAAAGATTAGTGGTCTTTCTTTATAGTGGAAGAAATTATGAACTAATTTGAATTTTTAAGTTGTATTTACCGAAAAAATATTATTGTTGTTGTATCAAGCTATATATCAAATTTCGTGTTTTTCTTCGTATAAAAAGCAACTTGTGCTGGCATAATATTCAAAATTAGATTTGTATTCTTGCCTTTTTCATTTTAATCCATAATTATTCTAATATTTCTATTTTATTAATTTTCACATATTATCTATCTCTTATATATGCAGACAATTATTCAATCAAAAAGAAGCATCGCTGTAATCTGTACTATAGGTATAAGTCAATTCGATATTGTTATCTATATAGCTAAATGATTGAGGGTGTGTTGTAAATAAACTTATTTTATTGGTCTGACAATGTTATCTTGTGATATTCTTTAAGATTATCAAAAGTTGTAGTATATGATAGATCGACATAGATCATTTATAAAAATATATACTATATACTTTTACGTATAATTATTTCCTCAAAAATTTATTGTTAATAATATTGATATTATTTTATAAAACTGTATATTATGTGACGAGAAACTAATATTATATTATAAGTGTGAACACTTTAAGTCAAAGTTAAAAGGCTAAAATAGTCATGTAAAGTTGAATGACCATTTTGCCTTTCAACCAAACATTGCTTCAGAAACATTCTTATACAAACATGTAAATCCACATTCTAATAAAAAGAAACATAAAGAAAAAGTTTAATTAATTTTTGAATTCCTCAAGTACATGAAAGTAAAGTCGAACTTACCGTTTACGCAATATTAACAAAAACAATTTGGTTCTCTTCTACTTCCCTAATTAATGTTTATTAATATGCATTAACTTCTTATAATTCAAGACAAAAAACTTTGCCAACTATGTCTTATAATTCAGACAAAAAACTTCGCCAACTATCTTTTTCTCTTCCGATATCAGGGAAGAACTTGATCATCCACCCCCACTTTGCCAATACTATGACTAATCCTTGTGCTTCATTTCGCAAGTTTTATTTTTGGGACTATATGTAAAATATTGTTGAATCTTTGTGGATTATAATTTAAATATTTTGCAATATTATTGATTTAATCAGGTAATTTTGGATATATTAAATTTTTTAAGTGTGAATTTTGACCAAATTTTGCTTCTTTGCAGATACGTCAAATATAGAATACTTCGAAAAAAATATTCTCTGCAGAATAATATGAATCTATCAGTAAATTTTGGGTTGTTGAATTAGAATGTTTACCTTCAATTACTGTAATTCCAAAAATACTGTATCGTCCCATAACTTGACGTTTTTGTAAGCTCTTATTATGATACACGTACATTTATTTACTAGCATATTTTGGGAAAATTTGCCACTGTTAAAATATTTTTAATTAGTTGGTAAAATTTCCTTTAATTGTTTTTCCGCAACATTATGAAGAACTTCCACTTATTTGAATTCATCCATTAATCTTAATCGATACTAATTTTAGGATTATATATAACTCAATATAGTTTTCCTACTGGTTCAAACTTTTACATGAAATACAAAGTCATATAGGCAAATTACAATATGGATCGGAATATCCAAAGGACTTCACATGTAGGGTAGGCTTTCTTCCTCTCTTGACTTAGCTAGGATGAATAATTTATTATTTTAGGAACTTATATTTAATTATTTTATAACTAATATTTAAGTTACTTTTAAAATTTTATATTTTATATTCATTGGTAAGGGGTACACGCCAACGCGCGTGGCCTGAGACTAGTATAGTAAAAACAATCCTTATAAAGATGCTGATAATTGCATATAAAAAATTTTCATGTTGAGGTTGCTACATAAACTAGCCTGGGATAAGTTGAGCAGGGAAGAAGCAAAACCTTCTATCCACTTGATATCCCAATCATGCATCTATTTATATTCAATCTTCAAGAGTTGTTTAATTAGTGCATTAGGAAAACCTTGACATTAGTTTATGCAAAAACATTAAAATTGTACAACAGAGAACATTTAAAAGGCGTGGAGCATGCGCATTATATCATGTTCCATAATATAGATTACTTTCATTCATATGGTGTCTTGGCAAAGAATTTGAGAAGTTGTGCAGAACTAAAAGTTTTATCACTGACAAGATAAAACAGCTTGGTAAATCTCATGTATACTCATTAAAATCCATACTCAGCTCCAGTGTATTCTTTTTCCTCTAAGCTCAATAAATTTTTGTTGTTCTCTTTTATCTTCACAATACTCAACTTGGTAAAATCCCATGCATTCTATTTTTTTCCTCTAAACTTTGATCTGAATTGTTGGACAAGTGATCCTTCAAGAATTGCCTGATGAAAATACAAATTTCTAACTTGAATTTGCTTGTGCAGGGTGTTGTTTTCCTAAAAACATACCAGGTAATACCTAGAGTCTAAGTTTGCTTCGCGCATAAAAGAATGAGTTTGTTTCCTGTTCTTCTCCCACATGTTTTCCCAGTACTGTTGTAAATAAAAATTGAAAAATCTGGTTAGCATCTTAAATGAAATTTCGCATCCTATAATTTGGTGCAGCTGGTGAAATAATGCTAGAATACTAGAGAAGTAGTATGCCGACTGATAAAGTGAAAGCAAATGCATATTAAATAGCCAAAATGTAGTTATATATTTGCTCTACAAAAGACCTTTTGGTTTTTCCAAGAACATAAAAAGGAAGAGATCAACCATGATTAGCCAATTCCTTTAGTTCAATATGCTTGTGTGCTGACTACTCTTGAATTTCTACATGGCTGATACAATTATGGGTGTTTGTCCATAGCTACTCCTTTTTTATATTTTTTCTGACATAGTTTTATTGTATTAGTGAAATAAATCTCATTAGAGTGGAGGGATGTCTCTAATTCAGAGGTATTTATTGCAAGTTATGTAGCTTTGTGGAGTAGTCGTGCGTACTCACATCTCTTTTTACTGGGCAAGCTAAGTTTGAGCCTATAGCTTTTTGCAAGCTACAGCGAAGCACGAACAGGGATCTATGACAAACCATGTTTAGAAAGGTATGTTAAGTACGACCATGAAATTAGTTGTCTTCTTTTATCCCTTTTCTCTACTAATTCCATTGTGAAAGAATGAGATTGGCTAGACTAGATTAACAAATAATCCCTACAAATACAAATATTTTTGTCAGAGGCAGGCAAGAAAGGAGCCTAACTACAACATGGTGGCTGGGACCTTCTTCAACCCCAGAATGTAATGAGTCGACATTGACGTTACACCCAACAATGAACATCCTGTTTTATGTATGTAAATAATATCCAGCAAAATCCAACAATAGACATTTTGTGCTTTATGTATGTACATAATATCCATTAGTACAATATCGTCTTTATCCGATTTGATCGTCATACATGTATCAATTTTTTAACATCTATCAATTTTTTTCTGTTCTGCAGGTCATATCAAAACAAATTTGATCAAGAATAGAAGTTACAGCCTATGTTGTTGGGCCCGTGCTCGCACAGGTCATCACCGCCTACTTATAAAAAGAATCTCTACAATATGCGTGTATATAACTAAAGGATAAATACCTTTTACAGTGTAAATCATGGGGAAATGGATAAATGGAAAACTCTACAATGAGATGAAATAGGATCATTTTGTCTTAATCTCATTCATCAGATTCTATCCATTTATACATCTAAAAATCTTCATAGGTTAATTGCGACCGTGAGTTGTTACTTCTGTAACAACATTATTAAGGAATAATAAAAGTCTCATCAAATTCTAACTCAATCATAAAATCTTAATTTAACCTTGGACGACTTTGAGATTTATTATTAAGAAGTTCTCCCCTATGGCCTCAAGTTAGTTTTGTTTGTCACATTTTATTTATCAATACTCTTTTCTAAAAAAAACAAAAGAACCATGGTGGGGGTTAGGCATAGATCCCAGATAATCAAAAAGGATAAGTACACGGAAGAGGACATAGACCTTAGCCTTCAACACATGAAGAAGAATGCTTGAGAGCTCCACAATCTGATCTATGATATGCTTGATCTGCCAAGGTGGTTTCATTTTGCTATTAATCAAATTTACTATCTGCTGAGAATCATATTCAACAATGACATTTAAGGTGCCCTTGCTAATACATTGTTGCATGTCACTTAACATGGCTTTGGCCTCAGCCACATTATTACTACAAAGGCCATAATGTTCAACAAAAGCTAAAACAAATGAACCCCTACTGTCCCTGAGAATGCCACCACCTCCAGAACTCTTGGGGTTACCCTTACAACACCCATCTATATTGAGTTTAAAGAAACCTTCTTGAGCTTTATTCCACCTCACAATTTGGCTAGAGATAACTTATTGTACCTTTTCCACAGTATTGCACATCTCAATCCAAGAACTATCAGATTGACCTCTTCTTTTTTAATCGAGTATTGATAAATGAATGATAAACCTAGCAGACATATGAACATTATCAAACCTGGAGTCACACCTATTCTTCCATATCTCCCAGAAGATCATTATTGGTAGGCACTGAAGAAGAGAAACATGAATTACATTCTTTGATTTATACAACCACCAGCTCATAACAACATGCTTAATGTCCCCTTGTTTCATTGTAATTCCACAACACTTACCAAAATAAGACCAAACTTGTTTTGCAATTTGGCTTCGACAGAATAGATGCAAGATGGTTTCTTCTGTATGTACATTACAATAAGAAAATTTTGATGGTATCGTAACACCAAACTTCTTCACTAAGTCATCTATGGGAATCCTGGCATGCAATACTCTTAACATGAAAAAAGAGATCTTGAAGGGCATTTTTTTTTGCCATGTCATTTTAGCTGTAAAGGAATTGTTTCTTTGCTTCCTTAATTTTTGCCAAGCTGATTTACAAGTGAAGGTTCCTGAAGATTCAAGTTTCTAAACTGGATAGTCATCAATGTTAACATGTATATCAATATCTAGTAAGGTATGAACCATTGTTGATGGAAGAACATTGAAAAGTTTAGTAGTATTCCAATGTCCCTCCTCCAAAAATTCATGAACTTTAGTGTGCCTAGAAGCTCTCTAAAATTGGATCTCCTTGGCAAGAAGACCTCTACCAGACCAATTTTCCTACAAAAGGACACATCACCCTTTCCAATCTTCCACATAATGAAATTCTCAACATCATCTTTGATATATGTTAGTTTATAGCTATGTATATACTGTAGTCTTGTCCCACATTGGAATATCAGTAGTATGTCCTTGTATAGTATAGCTATAAATAAGGACCTCTTGTATTATATTGAACATCTAATATCAATAACATATTTTCTCACGTGCCTTCTCACATGGTATCAAAGCAATTGTGAGAGATTTATCGTTGTGCATAAATTCCAGCGATTCCAGGAAGAGAAATCAGTCAGCTGATGTCTTTTTCCGGGGACTCTTTTTTAAGGCTGTTTTGCGTCTGCTTCGTCTCCGTCAGTGTTGTGCAAAATCTAACACTACCACAAGAGTCGTCACTATCCGGCGACCAAACCCCAGTGAAAATATCCGGCAGCAGCCTCCTCACACGCCTCCACGCGCCACCAGAAGCTTACGCGTCTGCGCGTACGACCACTTCCGGCCATATTTTAAAAAAATTCCTTGAGAAAAGTTGGGTCGCCTGGTAATTTCGATCCTACCCCTACTATTTTTCATTTCATTCCGACCACTTTGAGTTTTTCCGGCAGCTACAGTACTATTCCGACAGCTACAGTAAGATTCCAGCAGCTACATTATTTCATTATTTTGTTTCTGTATTTCCTTACTCTGTTTCAGTGGATTACAATTGAATCTTTCTCTTATTTGGTAATAATTTGCAACAATGTTTTTGGAATTTGATGCTTTTGGGTCTATAAACATGAGTTATGGAAGCTCTAGTGCTATTATTACCTCGGAACCTTTAATGGGAGGTTTAAACTGCTTAACTTGGGCTTCATCTGTCGAGTTGTGGTGTAGAAGCCAAGGTGTTCAAGATCATCTAATCAAACAGTCTAGCGAAGGCAATAGCACTTTGGGCAAAAATCGATGCTCAATTATGTAGCATCTTGTGGCGATCTATTGATTCCAAGTTGATGCCCTTGTTTCGTCCATTCCAAACATGTTATTTGGTTTGGGCAAAGGCACGCACCCTATACACTAATAACATATCTCGCTTCTATGATGTGATACCGCGGATGACAAACTTAAAAAAACAAGAATTAGATATGTTTACTTACTTGGGTCAAGTACAGGCAGACATGGAGGAATTTGAGAAGTTGATGCCAGTTTCTGCTAGTGTTGAAAAACAACAAGAGCAGCGACAGAAGATGTTTCTCGTTCTTACCCTCGCTGGACTTCCTAATGATCTTGATTCAGTACGCGACCAGATTTTGGCTAGTCCGATTGTCCCGACAGTTGATGAATTATTCTCTCGATTACTCCGCCTTGTTGCAGCACCAAGTCACCCAGTGATCGCATCACAGATACTTGATTCCTCTGTTCTTGCATCCCAGACAATGGATGTTCGGGCATCTCAAACTATGGAGCATAGACGAGGAGGAGGTCGTTTTGGAAGATCTAGACCAAGTGTTCTTATTGTCATAAACTTGGACACACTCGTGAAATGTGCTATTCCTTACATGGTCGTCCACCCAAAAATGCTTACATTGCTCAGACCGAGACTACATGTAACCAGGGAATTTCTTTATCTAAAGAAGAATATAATGAGCTCCTTCAGTATCGAGCAAGTAAGCAGACATCTCCACAAGTAGCCTCGGTTGCTCAGACTGATACTTCTATTACTGGTAATTCTTTTGCTTGTATTTTCCAGTCTAGCACTCTTGGCCCAGGGGTCATGGACTCAGGCGCTTCTAATCACATCTCCGGTAATATATCACTTTTGTCAAATATTGTATATTCACAGTCTCTTCCCACTATTACTTTAGCCAATGGACTCGTGCCCTCCGTTGTGGTATATATTTTATTGACGATTCTTTTATTATGCAGGACCGCAGTACGTGACAGAAAATTAGTACATGACATGAATCAAAAGGCCTTTACTACCTTAATGCACTCAGTCCTTCCACAACATGTCTAGTTACAAATCCTCCAGATCTAATCCACACACGTTTAGGACATCCGAGTTTATCCAAACTTCAGAAGATGGTGCCTAGTTTATCTAGTTTGTCTACATTAGATTGTGAGTCGTGTCAGCTTGGGAAACATACCCGAGCCTCCTTTTCGCGTAGTGTTGAGAGTCATGCAGAGTTTGTCTTCTCCTTAGTTCATTATGATATATGGGTCCTAGTAGAGTCAGTTCAACCTTGGGATTTCGTTATTTTGTTAGTTTCATTGATGATTATTCAAGATGTACTTGGCTTTTCTTAATGAAAGATGGTTCTAAGTTATTTTCTATATTCCAGACTTTCTGTGCTGAAATAAAAAGCCAATTTGGTGTTTCTATTCGCATTTTTCACAGTGATAATGCCTTAGAATATTTATCTTCTCAGTTTCAGCAGTTTATGACTTCTCAAGGAATTATTCATCAGACATCTTGTCCTTATACCCCTCAGCAAAATGGGGTTGCTGAGAGAAAGAACAAGCATCTTATTAAGACTTCTCGCACACTTCTAATTGAATATCGGGTTCCATTGCGTTTTTCGGGCGATGCAGTTCTCACAGCTTGTTATTTGATTAATCGGATGCCTTCATCTCCCATCAAGGATCAGATTCCACATTCAGTATTGTTTCCCCAGTCACATACTCTCTTCCACCCCGTGTTTTTTGGAGCACGTATTTTTTTCATAACTTAGCCCCTGAGAAAGATAAGTTAGCTCCTCGTGCTCTCAAGTGTGTCTTCCTTGGTTATTCTCGTGTTCAGAAAAGATATCGTTGTTATTCTCCATATCTTCGTAGGTACCTTATGTCAGCTGGCGTCACATTTTTTGAGTCTAAACCTTTCTTTACTTCTGCTGACCACCATGATATATCTGAGGTCTTACCTATACCGACCTTTGAGGAGTTTACTATAGCTCCTCATCTACTTTCGACCACAGAGGTTTCATCCATACCAATCGTTGAGGAGTCTAGTGTTGTTCCTCCTAGTTCCCCAGCCACAGGAATACCACTCTTGACTTATCATCGTCGTTCTCACCCTACATCAGGCCTAACTGGTTCTCGTCCTACACCTGACCCTGCTCCTAGTACACCGATTGCACTTCGGAAAGGTATACGGACCACACTTAACCCTAATCCTCATTATGTCGGTTTGAGCTATCATCGTCTGTCATCTCCCCATTATGCTTTTATATCTTCTTTGTCCTCGGTTTCCATCCCTAAGTCTACAGGTGAAGCGTTGTCTCATCCAGGATGGCGACAGGCTATGAGTGACGAGATGTCTGCTTTACATACAAGTGGTACTTGGGAGCTTGTTCCTCTTCCCTCAGGTAAATCTACTGTTGGTTGTCGTTGGGTTTATGCAGTCAAAGTTGGTCCCGATGGCCAGATTGATCGACTTAAGGCCCATCTTGTTGACAAAGGATATACTCAGATATTTGGGCTCGATTACAGTGATACCTTCTCTCCCG